TGATCGTCGTCGTGATCGTCGTCGTCGTCGTCGTCGTGATCGTCGTCGTCGTTGTCGTCGTCGGCGGCGGCGGCGTCGTGATCGTCGTTTCGTCGTCGTCGTCGTCGTCGTCGTCGTCGTCGTCGTCGTGATCGTCGTCGTCGTCCTCGTCGTCGCGTCGTCGCGCTTGAGGCCGCCTGTTGTTGTCGCCTCCGCCGCCCAGGCGCGCTGGCTCGAGGGCCAGGCCCCTCCTCCCTCACTCCTCCTCCCTCCCTCCTCCTCCCGCCTCCCTCGCCTCGGCCGTCGCCCTCGATCGCGCCCCCGCGGTCGCCCTCCAGGACATCCTCCTCCCTTCGGCACCCCTCTCCTTGACACTGGGGCCAGGGTTCGGCTCCCACCTCCTCGACACCGGAGGCGACCAGGGTCAGCCAGGGCCCTGTCGCGAGCCCGGGCTGGTCGCTCCGTGGTTCCCGAGCCCAGGTCAGCGGAGGGCGGAAGTGGGGGATCGGCTCCACGGGGCTCCCAAACCTGGGTCAGCCGGGGCGGATTGGCTGACCCCCATCCCCAGGCCTCCGACGTCATGCTTTTCCCCAAAGGCTCATTGGGGTTCTGCTTTGCTCCCCACCGGCGTCTCCTTCCGTCACCTCGTCTTCTTCCTCTCCTTCTCACCTGCACTCGAATGCGCATCAGAGGTAGGCAAGCATGCAGCCGTACGCGCGAAGACAACACAACACGCACAAACGCATACACCGAGGCATCAGAGGTGCGGCAACATGGGGGTTGGGTGAACATTATACATGCGCACACATGCATAACGCACGTGCGCACACATCAGACAGCGCAGGCGTACATCTGGCGACGCATGCAACACATGCACGCCATCCGCATAAGACACACGTCCACATACAGCCGCACACACACACACACGTACAAACAGACACACACATATAACAAACACACACACACACACTCACGCAGCACACACACAACACACACACACCACACGCAACACACGACACACACAGACAACCCACAACCCAAAACACACAATCCACAACACACGCTTTTTGCGTCGACGGCTGGGCAGAGGGCGACTGCTCTGGCGGAGTGGCATCAGGGGACACGCTGTCTGCAAATTAAGGCCGCGATGCACGGAAAGAGGAGGAGCCCCCGGCGCGACAGGAAGAGAGGAAGCTGGGCCACTCAGAGCTGCCGGCTGCGGCGGGGGGAGCGCCGAGGGGGGGGAGCAGCGCTTGAACAGAGCTGCACTGAGCTGAAGCTGGGGGGAGGCAGCATCGAGCTGCACCTGGAGGTGGAAGACGCAACGAAGCAGAGCCCGACCCAGTGAACCGAGCACACTCCAGGGATGGGCCCAGTGCGCCGAGACCTGCGGGCCTACGAGGCGCGTGCGGGGAGGTGGAAGGCGGGAGGCCCGAATGGGCTGCGCACGCAACCCCCCCCCCCCACACACACACACACACACACACGCACACACACACACACGCACACGCACACGCACACGCACACGCACACGCACACGCACACCCACACCCACACCCACACCCACACCCACACACATTCACACACACATTCACACACACACATTCACACACACATTCACACACACATTCACACACACATTCACACACACACACACATCCACACACACACCACACACACCACACACACACGCACCACACACACACACCACACACACACCCACACACACACACCACACACACATTCACACATTCACACATTCACACATTCACACATTCACACATTCACACATTCACACATTCACACATTTTCGCACATTTTCGCACATATTCACACATATTCACACATATTCACACATATTCACACACATTCGCACATTCGCACATTCGCACATTCGCACACGCACACGCCCACGCCCCCCCCCCCCCTACACACACACACACACGCACACACACGCACACACACAGACAGACACACACAGACACACACAGACACGCACACAGACACGCACACACAGACACTGACACAGACACAGACACAGACCCAGACCCAGACCCAGACCCAGACGCAGACACCGACACAAACAAAGACACAGACACAGACACAGACACAGACACAGACACGGACACAGACACACACACACACGCACAAATACGCAGACACACAGACACACATAGACACACACACACACACCGACACACACAGATACACACAGACCACACACAGACACATACAGACACAGACACAGACACAGACACAGACACACGCACACACGCACACACGCACACGCACACACGCAGACACACACACACACGCAGATACCCACACACCACACACACACACACGCACACACAAACACACACACAGACAGACACACACAGACACACACCGGCACACACAGATACACACAGACCACACACAGACACACAGACACAGACACAGACACAGACACAGACACAGACACAGACACACACACACACAACACACATAACGCACACATACGCACATACACACAAACAAACACAGACATACACACACACGTACACACATGCACACACACGCACACACACGCACACACACACCAACACCAACACCAACACCAACACCAACACCAACACCAACACCAACACCAACACCAACACCAACACCCCACAACACCCCACAACACCCCACAGCACACACACACACGCACACACATACACACACCCCACGCACACACACACACACCCACGCCAACCCACACCCACACCCACACCCACACACACACACACACACACCCAACACCCCACACCCCACACCCCCACACCCCACACCCCACACCCCCACACCACACACCACACCACCCCACCCCCACCACCCGCCACCCACACACCCACAACAACCCCACCCCACCAACCACCCCACCACAACCTCACACAACACAACGCAACACACCACACCACACCACACCACAACACACACACACACACGCACACTTTTCCCACACATGCACAAGACACGCGGACGCAGACCTAGTCATTCAAATGACACATACAGCAACGCCCACGAGACGCGCAGACGGCGACCTGGTCATTCACATGACACGCACACCATACAATATAGACGCGCAAGATTTGCAGTGCGTGGCATGAGCGGCACTTGCTCCACACCACAAGGGGTGCGCTGGGGGTGGTCCCTCAATGCAAGCTCCGTGTGTGCCGGGTTCAAAAAGCGGGGTAAGCGTGGCACTTTCTCCACACCACAGGGGGTGCGCAAGGGGTGGACCCTCAGCACGGCCTCCATCTCGCGGGGCGTGGCCGGCGTGGCATTTTCTCCACACCACGGGGGGTGCGCTGGGGGTGCAATGGGTGCGCCAAAAAGGTCCCTCACCTCGGTCTCTATCCGTGTCAGGGTCGCGGGGCGTGGCAAGCATGGCATCTTCTCCACACCGCAAGGTTCGTGCAAAAAAGGGTCCCTCACCGCGGTCTCTATCCGTGTCAAGGTCGCGGGGAGTGGCAAGCGTTGCATGTTCTCTACACCACTACAAATGGTGCGCAGTGGGTGGTCCTTCACCGCGGTCTCTATCCGTGTCAGGGTCGCGGGGCGTGGCAGGCGTGGCACTTCTCCACACCGTAGGGGGTGCGCAAGGTTTGGTCCCTCAGCGCAGTCTCTATCCGTGTCAGGGTCGCGGGGCGTGGCAGGCATGGCATTTTCTCCACCACAAGGGGTGCGCGGGGGGAGTCTCACCGCGGTCTCTATCCGTCGTGTCAGGGTCGCGGGGCGTGGCAAGCGTGGCATTTTCTCCACACCACAGGGGGTGCGCAAAGCTTGGTCCCTCACCGCGGTCTCAATCCGTCTTAGGGTTGCGGGGCGTGGCAGGCGTGGTAGTTTCTCCACACCAGAGGGGGTGTGCATGAGGTGGTCCTTCACCGCGGTCTCCACACCAGAGGCAGTCCGTAAGGGACCGTGGCCATAGGCGCGCCAACGTCGCAAAGCGTGGCACGCGTGGCTTTTTCTGGACGCCTTGCAATGGTCGCACGGCGTGGCAGGCGCGGCACATTCTCCATGCAGCAGGGGATTGCGCAGGGTATCGGGGCGCTGTGCGTGCCAGGGCCGCACGGCGTGGCAGGCGTGGCACTGGGGAATCGGTGCCGAGCGCTTTGCGAATCACAAAGACGCATGCCCATAGCAAATTCGACCAATCCAAGGTGCAAGATGAAATGCCCACAGAGGACCTGAAATAAATATGAGAGGTTCCTCGGTAGCGTAATTCATGACGCCCGCCCCCTACGGGACCGGTTTTTCATCCTGTGCCGTTTTTTGACCGTCCTGGGGCCCTGTAAGGGCCCCCACAGGCGGAAAACAGCGAAAACCGCCCGTCGGGATTTGTCAGGATTCGCAGGGGTCTGGGTTACCCGTCAGTCGGAAGAAGTAAGTGGAAAGATGAAGCAGGAAGGCGGAGAAAGCAGATCGGGCTCGGGCCTGCCCAACTAATAACAAACAACTGCAAAGTCATTTTGACTCCTGAAATTTGAAATAGGAAAGCGCTTGAAGTGGTAGGAGAGCTCCAAGCAACGGACCACCACCAACCCTGGCCAGGATGGACCTGGCCAGGGTTGGTGGTGGTGCGGCGTTGGAACCGAAATGTACCGATGCCACTACTCCCCAGACCTCTCCCAGGGTGCGCTCTGACCAGGATTTCGAGGCGAATCCAGCGGTGGCGACGAGGGCCTCCTGAGAGGCCACACAAGGGGAAACCGGGCGAAGGGTAGCAATATGGGCACATACTTTCCTCCTCTGAGCGTCCCTCCGAACAAAAAATTGGACGCCCGAAATGGGTACGGAAAAAAAATTGTACAATGCACAACAACACATGCTGTCCCAAACCAACAGCGGCCGCTGTTGGGCAGGCGGCCTTCTGTCTCGAATGGACACAGGCCGCGGCGGCGTGGACAGCGAATCCTGTTCAAAATGAACAGGAACTGCTGTTGGGCATTGTATCCATTCTTTCCGTACCCATTTCGGGCGTCCAAAAGATTGGGATCTGTACTGTGTACTCTGCGCCGGAGCCTGCGCGGGAGGCTCCTCCTCGTCACTTTCGAAAACCACAGGCACGAACAGAGCACCAACGACTTCACCCGAGCGGTGCGGCCGCGACCGACTCTTTCCAATGCGGGTCGCCCGTGCAGCTCGGGATCGTCTCCGTGCGGCCTTCCGCCACCACGGCCACGCCCCCGGCGCGGTCCCTGCGGGTGCTCGCCGCAGCCGTCGTGGGCGCCGCTGCCGCCATCGTTGCCGTCCTCGCCGTGGTTGCCGTCGTGGTCGTGGCCGTCGTGGTCGTCGCGGTTGTCGTGGTCGTCGTGGTTGTCGTGGTCGCGGTCGGGGTCGTGGTGCCTGTCGCCGTCGCTGTCTCTGTCGTCTTGGTCGTGGTCGTGGTCGTGGTAGTGGCGCTGGTGGTCGTTGTCTTATTTCCAATCCCCCTTCCCTCTCCATTATTCTCCTCGCCCTCCCTCTCGTGGGTCTCCGCAGGGCCTTCAATACGTTTTTTTTGTTTTGTTTTTATCCTATCACCCTGGGGCTTATCATGCACAAACAAATTCAGACGCCGTCTTACGGCCCCGCAAACAGATCTTGCACGGGCCCGCAGCCGACCAGGCCCAGACCCCGAAGCGCGACCGTCACTCCGCGCTCATACCGACCACAGGTCTGGGGTCCGCCCTCCTGGCCGCCCTGGCGGCCCTGCCTCGCTCCTGAGCTTCAGCAGCGCTGGCAAAGCCAAAGGAGCCCAGGGCTCCCTCGAACCCAGGGCGGAACAGCCTCCCTGGGGCAGGCGGGGCTGGTGCCCGATCCCGCACCTCTGGGGGCTCCACGGCGGGGGCTCTGAAGCCTGCAGGGGCCGCTGGGTCCACCATGCCATCAGGGCCCGCGACCGAGCCAAGCGCCTCGGCCCACCTGGCACGGGTGGCCGCTGTGGGCCGAGCCAGCTGGTCGATCGGCTGCTTGGATTTCCCAGGCAGGATCGACTTAGCGAAATCGTTTCTCGCCTGCGCCCTGGAGCCCTTTTTGGCCCTGGGGTCGTCCGCGCGCTGGGCCCCGCTGCAGGCCTTGGCTAGGCCCCTGTGGCAGTACTGGGGTTTCAGGCAATACATCAAGCACGCCACACACACCAAAAACTCAGGGCCATCGCCGCCAGAAACGCGTGATTCACGAAGACGGTGGCCGTTGACCTCCCAGACTCCCGACTCAACAGGGTCGTCCTGGGACGGGCCAGCACGCGGAACACTCGAAAAAGAGACCCCCGACATTTGGCCAGAGTCTGGGGTCTCAACATGGGGCCCTGGGGTCCTCCCCTGGCCAGCAGGGCCCGAGAGGGCTCGCGGAGGCAAGGCGGCGGCCGAAGTAGCAGGGGAGGCCACTGAGGGAGGATGGGGAGGGGGCTGCGACACAGCCGACGGGGGCGGGCTCAGTGCGCCCGCGGCCGAGGGCGCTGCCCGCTCCGCCTTCTCTGCGCGTCGGCGCTGGACCGCGCGAAGCAAGGCCGCCGACGCGCTCGACGCGTCGGCGACTGGATCACTGGGCCCGAGGGGCCCCTCGCCTGACTCCTTCCTCTTGCGGACCTTCGTGCCGACCTGGTCCTGGGCCTGGGCTCCCTGGCTGGCCGCCGCTGCCGTCGCCAGCGCTGCTGCCGCCCCCAGGGCCGCCAATCCGCCAGGGCCACGGGCAGTCGACTCCTCGGCCTCCAGCAGCAGCTCCAGGGCGGGCGTCGGAGCGAAGGGGTCCAGGTCCACGAGGTCCAGGGAGGTGAGCGGCCAGGAATCCCTGAGCCCCGAGTCGGTGATGTGCACGTCGAGGGCCGCCGCGCACCTGGCCACCTCCTTCGCCCGAGCCAGGCAGCCCTCCAACATCAGGGCGTCCTGCTCCGCGATGGCGTGGAATGCCGCTCCTTCCTTAGCCCTGGTGTCGGCGCGCCTGTTGCCCACGAGCTCGAAGAGGGCGAGATCCCCGTCCTGCACCGCGGCCTCGGTGCGGTGGACGGGCACGTGGCGTATGATGACGCCCTCCGCTGCATCGCCAACCCTAGCCCACACGTGGGCGTGCAGGGAGCTGGGGCCGCAGGCCTTGGTCAGGTTAGACGCAGCCTTCACCGTGCTCAGGCAGTCGCTGAGCAGCGTGTAGTTCCCGATGATGTCGGCGAGGCCGATGGCGGCAGCGTAGTCCTCACCCGCCTTGGCCGTCTGTGACGGGAGGTCGCTGGGGGGCACTGCGCCCCACGCCTCGGCGATGAGCCTCCCCTCGGGACCGTGCGCGATGACCGCCCAGCCAGCGCTCCTGACGTGCGGAAAGTCCCCGTTCAGGCACGAGCCGTCGGTGAAGACAAAAGGCCCGTCGGGCACCGCCAAGATGCCGTCCCCCCACCCGCAGGATCGCCGCGCCCAGCTGTCATCCCAGGCTGGCCTGGCCACCAGGAGGCTGATGTCGGCGAAGAGCCCCTGACTGAAGAGCTCGTCGAAGGGGGGCCCCATGCGGTGGGCCTGCTCCGCTGCCTGTCTCACCTGGTACGGGCAGTAGTCCCGCCTCCAGGCCGCCCAGGCTGGGCACACGTGGTGTCTGTGGTGCATCGTCCCAGGGGCGGCGCCGCAGAGCCTGCAGAGCGGGTCAATCTCACGCCCATGCCTCGCCAGTCGGGCCTGGGGCCAGCTGGCCACGGTTTTTTTTTTTTTTTTTGTTTTTTTTTTTTTTTTTTTTTTTTTTTTTTTTTTTTTTTTTTTTTTTTTTTTTTTTTTTTTTCTTTTTCCCCAACCATCCTGTGGTGTTGGGTCCTCGTTTTGAAGAGACGGTGCCCGCGTCTCCTCCTCCTTCCTCTCCTCCTCTCCTCCTCCTCCCCCTCCTCCTCCCTCCTCCTCCCTCTCCTCCCTCCTCTCTGCGTTTCACCCACCCATTACAGCGCTTCGTGGCTCCATAGGGAGCTCCACCGAAGGCCCCAGTGGGGGTGTTCGCATGCGGTTCCCCCACCCAGGGCAGCGTTTCGTGGCCCCATAGGGAGCTCCACCGAAGGCCCCAGTGGGGGTGTTCGCATGCGGTTCCCCCACCCAGGGCAGCGTTTCGTGGCCCCATAGGGAGCTCCACCGAAGGCCCCAGTGGGGGTGTTCGCATGCGGTTCCCCCACCCAGGGCAGCGTTTCGTAGCCCCATAGGGAGCTCCACCGAAGGCCCCAGTGGGGGTGTTCGCATGCGGTTCCCCCACCCAGGGCAGCGTTTCGTGGCCCCATAGGGAGCTCCACCGAAGGCCCCAGTGGGGGTGTTCGCATGCGGTTCCCCCACCCAGGGCAGCGTTTCGTGGCCCCATAGGGAGCTCCACCGAAGGCCCCAGTGGGGGTGTTCGCATGCGGTTCCCCCACCCAGGGCAGCGTTTCGTAGCCCCATAGGGAGCTCCACCGAAGGCCCCAGTGGGGGTGTTCGCATGCGGTTCCCCCACCCAGGGCAGCGTTTCGTGGCCCCATAGGGAGCTCCACCGAAGGCCCCAGTGGGGGTGTTCGCATGCGGTTCCCCCACCCAGGGCAGCGTTTCGTGGCCCCATAGGGAGCTCCACCGAAGGCCCCAGTGGGGGTGTTCGCATGCGGTTCCCCCACCCAGGGCAGCGTTTCGTAGCCCCATAGGGAGCTCCACCGAAGGCCCCAGTGGGGGTGTTCGCATGCGGTTCCCCCACCCAGGGCAGCGTTTCGTGGCCCCATAGGGAGCTCCACCGAAGGCCCCAGTGGGGGTGTTCGCATGCGGTTCCCCCACCCAGGGCAGCGTTTCGTGGCCCCATAGGGAGCTCCACCGAAGGCCCCAGTGGGGGTGTTCGCATGCGGTTCCCCCACCCAGGGCAGCGTTTCGTGGCCCCATAGGGAGCTCCACCGAAGGCCCCAGTGGGGGTGTTCGCATGCGGTTCCCCCACCCAGGGCAGCGTTTCGTGGCCCCATAGGGAGCTCCACCGAAGGCCCCAGTGGGGGTGTTCGCATGCGGTTCCCCCACCCAGGGCAGCGTTTCGTGGCCCCATAGGGAGCTCCACCGAAGGCCCCAGTGGGGGTGTTCGCATGCGGTTCCCCCACCCAGGGCAGCGTTTCGTAGCCCCATAGGGAGCTCCACCGAAGGCCCCAGTGGGGGTGTTCGCATGCGGTTCCCCCACCCAGGGCAGCGTTTCGTGGCCCCATAGGGAGCTCCACCGAAGGCCCCAGTGGGGGTGTTCGCATGCGGTTCCCCCACCCAGGGCAGCGTTTCGTGGCCCCATAGGGAGCTCCACCGAAGGCCCCAGTGGGGGTGTTCGCATGCGGTTCCCCCACCCAGGGCAGCGTTTCGTAGCCCCATAGGGAGCTCCACCGAAGGCCCAGTGGGGGTGTTCGCATGCGGTTCCCCCACCCAGGGCAGCGTTTCGTGGCCCCATAGGGAGCTCCACCGAAGGCCCCAGTGGGGGTGTTCGCATGCGGTTCCCCCACCCAGGGCAGCGTTTCGTAGCCCCATGGGGAGCTCCACCGAAGGCCCCAGTGGGGGTGTTCGCATGCGGTTCCCCCACCCAGGGCAGCGTTTCGTGGCCCCATAGGGAGCTCCACCGAAGGCCCCAGTGGGGGTGTTCGCATGCGGTTCCCCACCCAGGGCAGCGCTTCTTTCGTGGACCCCATAGGGAGCCCCACCGAAAACGGCACCCACGACGCGTTACCAACAATTGCTTATGGTTGGGTCTTTCGCCAGGATAATTTTTTTCCTCCCCCCCCAACCATCCTGTGGTGTTGGGTCCTCGATTTGAAGAGACGGTGCCCCGCGTTCCTCTCCTTCCTCCTCCCCCTCCTCCCTCCTCCCCCTCCTTGCCTCTGCTCTCGGCACACCTCTCACACGTTTCGTAGCCCCATAGGGAACTCCACCGAAGGCCCCAGTGGGGGTGTCCACATGCGGTTCCCCCACCCAGGGCAGCGTTTCGTAGCCCCAGAGAGAGCTCCACCGAAGGCCCCAGTGGGGGTGTCCGCATGCGGTTCCCCCACCCAGGGCTGCGTTTCGTAGCCCCATAGGGAGCTCCACCGAAGGCCCCAGTGGGGGTGTTCGCATGCGGTTCCCCCACCCAGGGCAGCGTTTCGTAGCCCCATAGGGAGCTCCACCGATGGCCCCAGTGGGGGTGTTCGCATGCGGTTCCCCCACCCAGGGCAGCGTTTCGTGGCCCCATAGGGAGCTCCACCGAAGGCCCCAGTGGGGGTGTTCGCATGCGTTTCCCCACC